TTTCTATGTTGAATATTAGCTGAAATATTAAATGATAATGGATTTGAATGGCGGCCATCTTGAAATTCAATATGGCGGCCTTCGATCGATAATGATTTTGATTGCAATGTGTAGCGTCTCAGGATGTTTCTCATTAAATGTCATTTTGTTTTGTTCCTAAAATTGTGGATGGATAAATCTGAGTATTTGTTCCTTTTGGCGGTTTGATGATTTTATGATAACGTTATGTATATTCATGATGTGTTTTATTAGTTGTCGAATCATGCACTATATTATATGCATGTCATTGGTCACGTGATGTAAACGACCAATGGGGGAGAAGTGGAGTGAAGGACAAGGTTGCTGGACATTTTGGTTTTTGGGACACGTCAAGTTTGTGGTGGATAGTGTCAGCTGAACCACGTAGCTGCACAACGAATTCAACTTAAATGCTGCGCCGAAACTACGGGCTAACAGATAGCTGCAACCGCTGGTGGCGTGCAACAGTGTGTCGGGAGTGAATAGCCTGCATGGCTTATGAAGAGGATTTGGTTTGAGCGACAAACCCGGGCATAAAGGATTTGTGCCCGCCTTCTCGACGTCCGGCAGCTTACAGGTACAGCTCACCTCCACGCCGCTCAGCCCTGTTCCTGGTCGACCTTCTGATAAACCGTTTTGCGGAGGGCTGTTTTTTCATCCCGGTCATTCTACTCGCTGTGACTGGCGTCACCCGCATCGTCACGGACGATTTCAACGGCTTTGGACTAGTTACTCCGTTGCATATTCGCTAAAACTGCGGCGGCCTTCCGCATTATAAACAGAGCCATTTTTGACCTGGGGTTTACATTGTTTTGTGATTTGTTCATTTTATGCAAAAGTAATTTCTGAATAGGGCTGTAATAAACATACTAGAAATTACCACTCGGTCTTGCTTAAGTTATTCTTGTGAGGTCACTCAAAAAGGTGAGGAGGTTGTAGAACACGCATGTGCATATGTGGGTTGGCACATGATGTTTGTGTTTGGATAAACACAATATACACAAACATATCCAACCCAAAAACCTACATTCTCCCACAAATGTGTTCCTTGACCCCGTTAATGTTAGTTTAGGCACCAAGATCATGTTTCTATGTTTAATATTAGCTGAAAATGAAGGATAATGGATTTGAATGGTGGCCATCTTATAAAATAGCCGTCATTGTTGCCATGGGACAAATATGTGATGGCCCTATAGCCAAAAATCTTCCTTTGGGCATGCTCTAACCGTGTGCCAAAGCTCATGCTTGTATCATAAAAATCACAATTCCCTCAAATATTTCACATAATTATCTGCTGGGCTAATACGCGGCACATCTACTATATATAGCCAATATATAGGCAATAATAGTAGAAAGAGCCGAAGTGTCGTTTTCCGTATCTCCTCCAAAACCGTGCCGCGTGTGCTCGCGCGAATCGAGCTGAGGCCCCTTCTGGGTGTCGCGAATACATTCCGCTACGTTAGAACGCGATTTTTCGATCGTAAAGTGACTTTTGGAGGAGCGGAGAAAATAGACTCCTACGGAGTCATAAACATGCTCCACACACGGCATCGGTTCGCGCCATATAGACATGGAACAATCGATCGCCCGTACATCAATCCGCACCGCTGCTTGCCATGACGGACGTACATCGTACGCACTAGCGGCAGGCGCGGTACACGCTGGCTATCTGTAACACCCGCTGTTGACTTCGCTGTCAGTCTACTGTCAGGTACTGTTCAAGGTATAATTTCATTTTTTACATTCTTATCCCCCCCAATTTTCTCAACGAATTTCACGTTTCACAAAATTGACCCCTGCGACTGTCAG